GAATTTTACTCTGGACGTTATATATATGCTCCCTGATTCGTGTTTTTAATGGGCGTGATGTTTTCCCTACATATTGTAATCCACAGGGACATGTTAGCATATAAACAATGTCCACGGTGTTACATGTAATAAAGTGCTTGATCTCACTCTTTTCCAGTATTAAAAGAAATACATTTAAAAATTCCTATTATTCCTAGTTCTTGTTAGTGATGTCCCGAACGGTTCGCCGGACATCACTAGTTCTTGTCTTACATCCTCTGCAATTTCCACAATAAAATAAAAATAATCCCTTTTGCTCATTTAAAACATTGTTTGGACATTCTTTCTTTTCCTTATCTAGGAAGCTATTAGTTAAAATTTGTTTCAAATTCCTAGCTCCACTAAAAATAAGTCTGGGTTTATCCCCTATAAATGGGCGTATTTCATCGTCTATATTTAAAACATGCCAGTTTTTTAAAATAATTCTACGTAGATTGTGATTATTAGAATTAATATTGAAAATTAAAGGGATAGTTTCTTGTGCTTCTTTATTTACTTTTTTATCTTTATATTCCAATATTTTTAACCTATTTTCCTCCTTCACTTGTTTGAAGGCTTTTTCTAAAAATCTTTTGTCATACCCCTTCTCTAAAAATAGTTTTTCTAAAATTTTAGCTTCATTATCAAAGTCTCGTTCCTCTGTGCAGTTTCTTTTTAGCCTTAAAAATTGCCCTTTCTGTATATTTGATAGCCATGATTTAAAATGGCAACTACTAAAATCAATGAAACTATTAATATCCACAGATTTAAAATACTACGACTCTTAATTAAACCATCTTCTATAAAAATCTCAAGATCTAAAAAATTTATATTGGAGGGACTAATAGCATGTGTCAATTTAATATTCCATAAATTATCATTAAGAGAATCAATAAAATTCAACAGAGATTGGGAACTACCTTTCCAAATAATAAAAATATCGTCAATATAACGTTTGTAGAGGACCAGACTTGCCCCAATGTCCAACCTGGAGAAGACATTAATTTCTTTCCAGTAGGACATGAATGAATTGGCGTAATTTGGCGATTTGCCCCAGGTTATGCCAAGTTACGCCAGTAATTTATTAATTATCTGTACGTTATTACCCTATGTTTTTTTTCCTTATTTTGTTTCTACAGGATTCTAATTGATCATAGGGGTAACCAATTTGCTATTTTATCTTGTGTGTGCTCTCACCTGTTTTATTATTGCTAAATGCGTATGAATAAATATTTATTATAGCGTATTTCCTGGCTTACTATTGGTCCAAGCAGTTACCAATTTCAAGGTCTTTTTGGTTAGAGGCCCTGCTTATCTGCCCAAACACCAGGCAGAATGAACAGCTGACTCCAGCTAAAAGCACAGATGGGACTTGCACATCATTCCAGGATTTATGAAAGGTTACTAGCTCCCAATTAACTGTTTGGACTTTAGTCGGATAAGGGTATCTTCTGATC